AACTTTGACATATACAGGCCTTCTCAGGAGAGGCGTGCGACCTGAGAAGGCCTATTTACCAACAAAAATTATATTTTTTTGTTGATAACATGGCCACGATTTTTTTTGCATTTATTAAAAATGACGCTTTTTAAAAACGCACTAAAAAAATCAAACTAATTAGTCATCTTATTGGTTTTTTTTTATTAATAATAATTTATTATAATTATTTATGAGAAAATAAAAACCTAACAATAATGCGCATATATATATTTGTAATTAATGATAAAATAAAAAGATTAAAACAATATAAAAATATATATATTTTTTTATTTGTTTTCATGCATTTAATAAAATTCTGGCGATTTTTCGTTAAGTTTTTGTTTATTAAATGAATTACGTCATTAAGTAATTATTATTTCTTCCTGTTGGCTTGACAATGTTTTAACTGAAACTTTTTATATAAGATGAATTTAAAAAAAAAAACTTTGTTTTTTTTTATATGTATTAAAATTATTTATTTTATTGTTTTTTTGTTTGTTTGTTTATGTACTATTATTTTGGTTGACATATAGATGTTTAGAAAAGATTTAAATATTTAAAATTTTAACTTAGCAGCATTATAAAAATTCAATCTTATAAAAATAAAGCAATACGCATAAACGTAAGAAGTAAAAATAAAAACTTCGTCAAACCAATTACTCAATTAAGTAATAATAAAAATGTAAAACTAAAATATTTTTCTGAAGTTGCTCTTGGTCTTGCGAAAAAACTATTTCCAGTTTGATAACTTTCATGAATGTTATGAAAAATCACTCAGTAAGAGTGCCACCAGTTTTTAAAAAAGTTTTTTGTTAATTATTTTTAATGAATGAGTTCAATACTTATGCAATTCTTTTGTTACGTAACTCTAACTCTTAATAATAGATCAAAAAAATCATGATAACTGCTCGATAATGTAAGTGATGTAATTTAAGTAAAAAAATACAGTATCAAAAAAACAAGTTTATTTTAAAAAAGTTTTTATAAAAATTTTAAATTGGTATAGAATTATCTGCATTTTGTAAAAGTTTCTAATACAAACTGCGCAGAAATGAGACCTATAAGTTGAATTTGTTTTTTTACCTTGTTTTCTGTGTAACATAAGTGCAAGTGGCATTTTTAGTAATAAGTTTGCTTTCTTTTGGCCGAACTTAAAACTTTTAAGCTTATTTCATTTATTAGACTAACAGCTTTCATACAAAAGTGCTTGAAGTTTAATTTAAAAGTTTAAATAAGCTAATATTTGGTAAAGTTAATGTGCATGTAACGTAACTTAAAAATGGAATTGCCCATATATGTTATTTTAATGTTTTTATTTTCTTATTAATAACTATAATAATGAATTATTAATAATAATTAAAAAAAGATGAGCAATTAATTTTTTTTTCAGCGCATTTTTAATAAATGCAAAAAAAATCGTGGCCATGTTATCAACAAAAAAATATATACGCATGGTCATTCAAGGGGTGCGACCGCACGCCTCTCCTGAGAAGGCCTGCATATAGCATCTTCATAATGGCTCGAGGAAATTTGCTCAAATTTAGTACCCCAATAGATTTTTACTTGCGGAATCCAAAAAGAGCACCCTCAAGACATGATTATCTCAGGAAATGCCTTATTTATCCAATTTTGTTTAAAGTTATTGACATGTAAATTCATGATATTCAAAATTCCCAAAATTCCGAATAAAAAGTTTAATTGCATATCATTATTTTTATCTTAGGTCTACTGAATAAAATTAGATTTATCAATTGTCTCTCTAATACTTGATCAAAATTTGTGTTTAAAATTTTTGTCTTTTTAGAAAAATTTTAATTTTGTAACAAAAGCAACTGAAATTTTTTTTTAATCATTTGTTTGAATAAAACATCAAATGGTGATGTTTATTGACTAGTTTAGGACGTTTATAGTCTTGAGCCAAAGGAAGGCCAGGGGGCATCTGAGTAACTCTGCCTCCCCCCCCCCCCAAAAAAAAAAAAATTTCTGGATTTTTTTAATTTTTTTATGCATTAAATAATAAAATAATAAATAATTATTAAGTCTTAAGCCAAAGGAAGGCCAGGGGGCATCTGAGTAACTCTGCCTCCCCCCCAATACTTCTGGATTTTTAAAATTTTTTTTATGCATTAAATAATAAAATAATAAATAATTATTAAAACGCAATTTAAAAACACAGTTTTTTTTTTTTAGTTTGAGAAACATTTTAAGTAAGCACTCAAATCTAAGATCTTTTCATGATTTTAAAAATCATAAATGTAATTTTATTTGTGTATTAATATGTCATGTGTATTTTTAGCGAAAATTTTCACAGTTACTATTTTATTAATATGGACTGCAAGTGAGGTAAAATTGAACAAATTCTGAGACATAAGGGTGTCATGGTCTGGACAGAAAAAAACCCTCAAGTGAGTTAGAATGATAAATTTTAAGTTTAAGATTTTTTTTAAACTTGTTCTAGTTCAATTGCAAGCATACTTACCAATCAAATAATTAAGAGTAGTGAACACTTTTAGAGCAATGGTCACTTTATGAAGGATTTTTATAATAATAGTTTAAATAATTTGTGTGTTGTTTTTATATTATTTTTTTCTTAGTGGTTATTATTATCGGCAACAAAATTCATTAAGTCAAAGCAAAAAAAAAAAAAAAAAAAAAAAAAAAAAAAACGGTTTTAGGCGTTAAAAAGGATGCCTTTTCCATATTTTATGTGTTTTTTCTTTTTAAGAGGAAAGAGAAAATATGTATCGTCATCTGTTTGTTAAATATATTTGTATAATTATAGTGTAATAAGTTTATATCATGAGTTAAATTTTAGGATCGCGATTTGCATACTCAGGTAAAATATTAGGTCATTAAAATTTTAGTTCATGCAAAGCTGTGTACTTTGTTTATAAGGAGCAAATTATTAAAAGTTTGCTAGCAAGAAAGTTACAAACAACAAAACAAAAACAATAAAATTACGACTACAAAAGAAATAACACTTTAGTCACTAACTGCATTATAAAAGTAATAAAACTATAATAGTGTTATTACATTTATGAAGCACTTATTACTTTTAAAGTTCATTCCTTGTTCAAACAATATTATTATTTCCAAAAATTTATTAAAAGAGAAAAGCATCTAGAAAAAATAAAGCAGATATTCAAATATTATTAAAATTTTTAGGAACTTTCACAGATCAATTATAAAAAAGTACTTTATAAAAAGTATAGCATTATGAAAAACATTATGTAAAAACGCGCTTTAACTTTAAAACCAATCAAATTTTACAAACACATTGTAATTTGTATTTTTGCTATCTTCTTAAAAAAAATTAAGAAAAGGAAAATCATTTTTTTTATTGTAGACTTCATTATAACTATATTTTTTTAACAAAAAGTGAAAAAGGTGCATTTTTATATGTTTTTTATTAACAATTTTTTTCAGCAATATGATTTTTATAAAACGATTATTATTTTTGAATTTTTTATAAAATTTCGCTTATTTGAGTACCAGATTGACCTACTTTTGAAAAACTTTTTTTATCCAAAATATTAGGGTACCAGGCTTGGTCGGGAAGCGGGAGCGATTGCTCTCGATTGCTGACGTAAATAATATTTAGTTGCGAAAAGCTGGCCAGATTTTTAGTCGTTTTGAGAACATTTTAAAAAGCAAAAAAAAAAAAGCGACGAAGATTAATTGGACCGATGAGAGACAATTACAAAAAAAATAAAATTATGCGATGTTTTTTATATAAAGTAACAACTTACGATTGTTTAAAAGGGAAATAAATATTCTTTATTTAACTAAGTTTGCAAGTTTTAGTTTTACTTAATCTAAATTATTTTATAAATAAAAAAGTTAATTTTTTTAATACCTATTTTATGTTTCGCGTAGTTTGAAAAGTTTAACATATTTGAAGCGATTCTTCTTAGTAAGATAAACAAATGAAATAATTAAATCATTGAATTACTATAGGAATTAAATTATCAAGATAGAAATCAACTAAAAAGGTTAAAAATACTTAATGACCAGGAAGCGAAACTGCTTCACAATATCGCTGATGTGCTGATTAGTGAGTGGACTTTTTAATTTTAATAAGTATTTAAAGCAGCAAAAAGTATAACGAGTTTTAAGAATGGCAATTTAAGCGAAAATATTTAGAGTTTAACGATTATAACTTCATTGAAAAACTTTAACGATTATAACTTCATTGAAAACGCAATTATTTTTGTAAGTCTTTGTTTAAATCATGAAAATTGCTTTAAAAGATACATTATGATAAAAAACAAATACACAAATTTACATTTACATAAAGAATACAATCTCTTTTAAAATAAAAAATAATAATATACTAATAAAATCTATGATTTATAATAAACTTTTAAAATTTTGACAACTTAATATATATTTAAAACATTTATTTTTGTAAACAAATAATAAATATTTTTAAAACAATTTATGCTAGAAATCTCAAAACGTAACAAATCGTGAATTAAAACATTTCAACAGAATACTCTAGAACTTTATTTCGCTTAATCAGCGTATTTTTTGAACCAATAGAATTAGTTTGTTCGTTAATTTGGCGGGTTTTTAGTGTTCGCAAATATTCTTTTTATTCTTGCGCTCAAAGATGTTTTGAGAACATTCAAGTTTTTTATGTTTCCATGTATGTCCGTAAAACAAAAATTTTTTGTTTCGTACATAAACTTAAATGTTCTCAAAACGACTAAAAACCCTGGCCAGTTTTACGCAACTAAATATAATTTCCGTGGTCAGTATTCGAGAGCGATGGCTCCCGCTTCCCGACCAAACCTGGGGTACCGGTAATTTTTTCAATAAAGTTGCGCCCTTTAAATCGCCCTTTAAACCGTTTTTTTCGAAAAAGAAGAAAAATAAACGAAGAATGATGAATAAAAGAAAGCATAAATAAAAAAGACAGATTTTAATATTATATAAAAGCATGTAATTTATAAATATAATATTACTGTTATACTTACCAAAGAAATAAATAACTAAGTCATTCCTTCCAATTTTTGTAAGCACCTCTACAAAAGAACTGTAATTATCGATCCCTAAAAGCATACGCTGTTCTAAAATTTGAATTAATTTGAACGGAGTTGTAATCCTTTCAAGATCAGCATCACCAATCTGTTTTGAATAATAAAACTTAATTGCTTCAACATCTCTATCCAACAAATTAACTGCAATTTTCAGCAAGATATCTTTGTATTTTTTGTCATCCATGACTTAAATATATTTTAGGATATTTTAAATATTCAAACACTTTGTCAAATAATGCTAAAATACATAAATATTTTAAGTGATTATATAAATTATTGAATTTATTATTAAAATAATAAAATTAGACATATATATATATATATATATATATATATATATATATATATATATATATATATATATATATATATATATATATATATATATATATATATATAATTATTGAATATATATATATATATATATAATAATTATATATATATATATATATATATATATATATATATATATATATATATATATATATATATATATATATATATATATATATAATAAATAATAAAATTATATATATATAATAAATAATAAAATTAGACATATATATATTTATATATATATATATATATATATATATATATTTATATATATATATATATATATATATATATATATATATATATAATGCGGTAGTGGTGTAGTGGTAGAGCGCTTGCTTCTAAATGAGTGGTTCCGAGTTCGATCCCCACCACGTTCCTGGTAGTACCGCGCTCAACTCGTTACTCCGCGCAGCGGCCTTGTTCGTCAAGGTTCGTGTTTCAGAGTTATAGAGTTGAGAGAGAGTTATAGCCACAAAATAAGTAGCCTCCTCATTTGTAGTGGCCTTCTCGGCCTTGAGGAGGTGAAGTAAAATAAAAAAATATATATATATATATATATATATATATATATATAATGCGGTAGTGGTGTAGTGGTAGAGCGCTTGCTTCTAAATGAGTGGTTCCGAGTTCGATCCCCACCACGTTCCTGGTAGTACCGCGCTCAACTCGTTACTCCGCGCAGCGGCCTTGTTCGTCAAGGTTTGTGTTTCAGAGTTATAGAGTTGAGAGAGAGTTATAGCCACAAAATAAGTAGCCTCCTCATTTGTAGTGGCCTTCTCGGCCTTGAGGAGGTGAAGTAAAATAAAAAAAAATATATATATATATATATATATATATATATATATACATATATCAGACTTAGTCAGAAAAATGTAGTTAGAAAGGCATGGCACAAACTTTATATAACAATGCAAATTAAACTTTACTTGACGATTTGACTACAGCTATTATCTTTTCAAGACACACTGATTAAATTGATTTTATATATTTATTTATTAGAAATATATGTTAGAACAGCATCAAAACTTTTTTCTTTATTAATAATTAATATAAAGTCCATATAATTTTTTGCTTTATTTATAATATACAATTAGAAAAATAAATAGCAGACACATTTTTTGTGAAGATAAAAAACAATAACAAAATAAAAACTTTCATTGCGTTAACAATTATAAAAAACAAAATTTACCTAACATAAACATTTTTAACATGAAAATACACACTTGAGATCACCAATGACAAAAAATAAAACTAAACAAGCACAAATTGAAACAGCTACTAGAGGACCAGTTACATGGTCATCAATGATAAAGAAAGAGAAAAAATACCAAACTAGAGCAGCAATAAATGAACAAAAAGACATCAATAAAAAAAACATAATCATTTTGGGTATCACAGAATCAGTTACTGGGACTGATGAGAAAAAACAAGCAGAACATGAGAAACAAGTTAGTCAAATATTTAACAATATAGGACCAACCACTGACCCAGATCTTGTCAAAATATTAAAACAATTTCAAAGAGGTGCAACAGCAGGCATACAGACCGTATCACCAAAAGTACGACAGGAAAAACTGTTAATTATAATAAGTGATGATTCAGAGAGTAACTCATTTATCACCGTATCACCAAAAGTACGACAGGAAAAACTGTTAATTATAATAAGTGATGATTCAGAGAGAAACTCATTTACAAATTAACCAAGGCAATAGAAAGTTGGGGATAAAACAAACCGAGTAAAAAGGTATTTAAATTTCACCAGATATCACACAAGCAGAGCAATATGAAAATATGGAGCTTAGAAAAATAGGAGACACAAAAAATGCAGCGAAAAAACTAGACAATCTCTTTCAATATGCAAGCCTTTGCATAGGAGGCAACCGACCATGTTATAAAGTTCAAATTAATTAAATTGCAAATTAAACAGAATTAAATATTTAAATGCAAAGGGACATGCACTCTCACAAAAATTGCCATGAGGGTGTCTGTCCACTTCCATATCCCAACCCCCTCAGATTTTTTAGAAATTAGAAATCGATATATTTAACACAGTTTAAACTTGTTTATGTGATTGCAGCTCATATATTCTGTTACTTATAGTAACAGAATATATAAGCTACATTTACATGAAGTCCTGGGATGTACAAACAAGGGACACATACTCTTGACGCATTAACCAGAAAAAACTATGAAAGAAACCTGATAATAAAATCAAAATCAAATTCAAAACTTCTCTATAAATATGTGAACAGTCAGAGGAATACAAAGCATTATAAAAGTCGTTTTGAACACTAATAGTACTGTAACAAACAAAGATTGCAGATATTCTAAACAACCTTTTTCACAGCACCTTTGTAAAAAAAAGCAACACAATGCCAGTAATAGCAGATAAACTAATAAGTCACACACTTTATTTAAATGACAACTTTATTGATATATTAATTTACAAATCATCTTAAATGTCTTACAACAAGTAATCATGCGGTAGTGGTGTAGTGGTAGAGCGCTGGCTTCATAAACAAGTGGCTCTGAGTTTGATCTCCACCACGTCCCTGGTAGTACCGCGCTCAACTCATTTCTCCGCGCAGCGGCCTTGTTCGTCAAGGTTCGTGTTTCGGAGTTATAGAGTTGAGAGAGGGTTATAGCCACAAAATAAGTAGCCTCCTCGTCTCTAGTGGCCTTCTCGGCCTTGAGGAGGTGAAAGAAAATAAATAAAAATAAAAATAAAATAAACCTCTACACTGGCTTGCAGCAAATGTGACACCTATTTTTTAAAAAAGTTGATGCATCGAACTACAGACCTGTGTCAATAACGTCAATAATATGCAAAATATTGAAAGGAGGCGTTATATAAATATATATATATATATATATATATATATATATATATATATATATATATATATATATATATATATATATATATATATATATAAATATATATAAACTATTTAATACAATAACTAAAACTAAAAATATATGTTAAAAGTTAAAATATAAATGTTTATAGAAAATATATATTATTAATGTATTTGTGGTTTTTTTTTTAGCTAAGCAAAATTTAAGATTTTTATTATCATTTAAAAATAATAAATTAAAAAAAGAAAATGACATGTACGAATATAATTATATTATTTATATTACAAATGATATGAATCTAATTAAATTGTAATTTAAAGTATTATAACATTCATGTAATATAGTATTCATGTAATATATACTTTAAAGTCTCGTATTTAACTCCTTTTCTTTTTATAATTTTAGCAAAAAAATATATAAATATTTTCTTAAACACTCATATTATGAGTGTTTAAGAAAATATTTATATATTTTTTGCTAAAATTAAAAAAATAAATAAATATATTTAATATTATGAGTCATAACATTAAATATATTTATTTCACTACTAAAACTATTTCATTCTATTTAGTATTCAATGGTAATTATTTTTAACACATTATTTGACATCAAAGAACATTACTTATCACTGTGTTTAGTTGTTAGATCAAAAAAATAAGATGTTCTTAGCGCCAAGAATTTTTAAGTCGAAAAATATCACGTGCATGGCGTTTGTTTACTTTTCATTTTGCAATATTGTCGCGTTTAACAAATGACAGTACAAGTGCATTAATGCGTAGAGGTCCGTTTGTTTTGTATTAGTTTTTATCCAATACTTTTATATTTGAAGATAGATGTTAGATGAAGAAGATAGATAGACTTTTTAATTAGAAGATTTTTTTATATACTTCAAACTTATATTTATTTTAATGCATGGCATCACAATACTTTTAAATAAATACACAAACAAGTACTAATTGGCTTCAGTAGCGTTTTCTGATGCGTCTGTTAGGGCGTGTTTCTTTGGCTTTATGCTTTGTGTTTAGTTATTTCTAATTTTTTTACTACGTCGTTTTTTTATTTTGTGTGTAGCGTTTAAAGAATCACTTTGAACATTTTTATTATAAGTAAAAAATTAAGTGTGGGATAGGTCGCTTACGAAAGTTGAATAATTTCTTTAATGAAACGTCATAAACTTAGAGCCCAAATTTCTGACACATTGTAATAAACTTTAATCTTCCTATGTGTGCTATTTTAATAAAAAAAACTTAGGGTTTGAACAACATTTACTTCCCGGAAGCCATTTTCAAAGACTTATAATTAGGAATTTAAAACTCAACAAATAATATCTTTTGTAAAGAAATTCAACAAACAATATCTTTAGTAAAGATATTCAACAAAACTCAACAAACAATATCTTAATTAAAGATATTGGGGTAAATACTTTACCCCAAGTTACATAGATTTTATGCGTAATTTTTAAGCATAGAGTCTAGCCACGATAAATAATTTGCTGGGCCTACGAATTAGGGGGCCCTTTTTTAAGTTTAGGGTCATTTTCTGAATACAAGAATTTTTTTAGCAAAACATTTAAAAATGGAAGATTTTTAAGATTCTAACGCCCTAATGACAGTGGTAGCTTTAAACTTCTAGCCACAGAATTGTTCGTATGGTATTTTCAGCTCAATATATACTACATAGAGAAACTGCGCCTATGATGGCAACTTTGAAGCTTCATATCATAAAGACCAATAATAAAAGTTTTGATATAGATAAACTCCTTGTTACATGTAAAACAATAATAACTCTAAGACTTTTCATCAGTTTTTTTTTTTCTCATAGTTATTCCTATTTTTTTAGAAAAAGCACAAGTACGACATCATAGGCAACCACTGTTCCTATGATGATATAGTGGAGGATGGTGCTGGTTAGGATGTAGGGTAATTTAATGATTTCATTTAGTTTTACAGTCTTGCTTCAGAAAAGCAAGAAATTACTCGGAACCGTCCTAGTTTACCATTTCATGTTATAAAGCAGCATTGTAAAGTTTAGCGCATGCGCATAGGATATATTACGCTTTATGTATTTTATGGATCATAAATCATTTGGAGCATTGCTTTCGTTTTACTTTATTAAAAAATAAGTTTTTCTCATAAAAAAAAGGTTTTCCCAACTTGTCAATATTGTAACACACCCAACTCGTCAGTATGGCATCATGGGAAGAAGTCATTTTCATTAAAACAAGCTGTGTCTTATTTAAAAAATAAAATTAAAGTAAGAATTTCACTAAATGCACAAAACTTGAATATAAAATCCATGAAAATTCTCTTTCTGCACATTTATTAATAAAATCACAATCTTACGAAGGGAATAAAACTATTACTGCAAATCCCAAATTCGATTTTTGTTGATTATAAAAAAATATTTGCGCACAAGGGACGCGTTTTCACTAAAACTAATGTAAAGTTAGTGTAATCAGTTTAATCAGTGTAGTTCTAATCAATTTTTCACCAAAACCAATTTTTATTGAAATATGGCCGGTGCTATGCCATTATAGGCGCCATTTCTCTACTAATATATACTAAATTAACTAATTTATTTTTTCTAGTGTGACAATAATATTATCAATAAGTTACAAAACTATAATTATTTTAAATATTATTTAATAAAAACTTACAGCTATTCAAATCTTTCAATATCAAAAATGCAAGCATACTTTTTTAACTCAACTTTCTTTTGATAGCAAATGCAATTGTTCAAATTTTAACAAAGAAAAGTCTATATTGTTTCTTTTCGTCATGTTTTTTATTTGACTTTTAAACAATATCACACACCCATTTATTGACAAATTATTTCGCAGTGTTTTTATGTTACACCTTTACTGCAATTCACGTCTTAAACTTTCTTTGTATGTTCCGGGTAAACAGCAAGTGATTTTTAATTTTTGATATTCGAGCTTCTTTGTGAGTTGTGAAGAAAAAAAAAATTAAAATTATTTTAAACCATCAGATAAGACTTTTTAGTTTAATATAAACCACACGTATATAAAGTGTTTAAGTGTTATTCTTGTGTTTAAGTTTTATTGCTGTATTTAAGTTTTATTCTTGTGGTTTATATATTAAACATTTATTTAAAAATTTTTAAACTGATTTTACTGCAAATTTTTAAAATGTATTTATTATATAAAATAATAACTAATATAGTAAAACGAAGTTAAATGAAATAAAAAGTGTTGCAACTTTTACAGTAAACAAATTTTAAAATATTCTCATTTAAATTGTAAATAACTTTAGGCTGTAATGATTATTTTACTGCTCATTAACAAAGTTGTCTTGCTTTTTTGCAGTCAAAAATTTATAATTTATATATCATATATATGATAAAGTTATAATTTATATATATATAATAAAGTTAGTTGAGACACGTTCCTTGGAAATATTGCCGGTCCACTTTTTTTATATGTGTCAACGAGTTGAATGACAAAAGTAACAACAACAACAACAACAACAACAACAACAACAACAACAACAACAACAACAACAACAACAACAACAACAACAACAACAACAACAACAACAACAACAACAACAACAATAACAACAACAACAACAACAACAACAACAACAACAACAACAACAACAACAACAACAAAAAAGAATGCAAAGCGCTGTAGAAGAGTTTTACTCAAAATTCTGAGTTTGGATCGTCCATAAAAAACGCCACGCATAATTTATTTAAAAAAATTTTAATGCTAATAAAATGATTTTTATTAATTCTATTTTGATTTTTTATGTAACTTAAGGCTCTGTGGATCGTCTGATGATCTTTTTTGTTTTATTTTAATAAAACAAAAAAGATCATAAGTTTTCTGCCGCGGCAAAATAAACAATAAACAAAAAAAACTACGCTACGCTAAACTTTACTAGTAAATATTTAATAATAAAACTTAGCGTTGCGTAGTTTTTTTTGTTTATTGTTTATTTTCTATTTATATGTCAACATAAATTAATAATAATAAATTAAGCAACTTTTTAAATTTTTTAATGAGAAACTAAAATCCTGGCTGCATAACTGAAAGATTTTTTAATTGTTTTTAACTAATTTTTGCCGATCTAGTAACTTTATATAAAAGGAATTTTGCATTAGCTTTTTTTTAAAATTGCAATTTAAAATAAAGTTTTCTCGAGATTAAGTATTTTAACTTAATGGTGTTATATTAAGTTTGCATTTTTTTGGATATAATTCACATTGATTTCATTAAATTTAAATGGCTGGTGTTAGCGAAATGCAACATAACTAATTTTTTTAAATTGATTAATTACTATAATATTATATATCATTAGAAAGCCCTCAAATACAGTATTTTAAAGGTGAAAAAATTATGAAAATCAGACTACTCAATAAAAAGTTATAGCGTTTTTAGTAGCAAATTTTTGATATATGGATTTCTTGATAAAACTGTTGTCAAATTTTTTTTTTTTTTTTACATAAATTGTTATATATTTGCGAATTCTTATTCAAATATCTATAACTTGGTATCAAAAGATAGATGTAATAATGGGCTATAATTTCAAACTAGTTTATAGGTAAAAGGCGCATCGAGGGATCCAGAGGGGGTGCTAATCCACCACCTACCCCTCACAAAATTACGCTATTTTTTCATAATAGTGTTTTTCTTTTTAGAAATTGGTAGTGTTTATATACAACGAGTTGTTTTTTATTTATTCCACACCACTTACAAATTTTACAGGTCTATCTTAAAGTTTGGTGTTGGTTTGTGGTGCAGGTTTAACACACCCTATAAAAATTTAATTTTTTTAAATATTACAATCTTTACTAAAAATGAAATCTATGACAAAAAACAAAAAATATATTTCAACACTTAAAAAAATATTGACTATTGGTGTATAAATTGCTTTTATGAAAGAGGGCGTATGCTGCCCCCCTTCCGCTCCTGAAAAAAAATTTTTAATGAAAATTTTACAAAAATTGTTAAAGTGTTTCTTTAAACAGAGAGAAACTAATACAAAAAAATACATTAACGTAATTGTTCTCGTTTATAGAATTGCCCCCCGAGCCGCTCCCGTATTTCGCTTGCCGAAAAAACAACAACAGAAAAACAGAAATTAGTACCAAAAGTGCTACACTTATTAAACTATTTGCTTATTATTTCTTTTTCAGTGAAATTTGGCATGTGCATAGAAAATGCATGTAAAAAACATTTTTTATAATAAAAAAAGAGGACTTAACATTTCTTCGACTAAAAATTAATGTGAGAACATCAACCAAATTTTCATGCGAATTTGACAGCAAAATAGTCCATTAAAAAGTATTGCAACCATGCTTAACAAACATATAAAAATCGAGCTTAACCTTTCTACTTTTAATTAACAGCTTACAATTATATATGTTTCTAAAAAGAATTACTAGAAAAATAAGTTTGCCTAAGTCTACCTAAAAAAAGTGTTATACTTAAAATAACACTAATTAGACTATTTGCTTATATCTCTTTTTCGATGAAATTTGGCATGTGCATAGAAAATGCATGTAGAAAACATTTCTAATAATAAAAAAAAGAGGCTCAACATTTCTTCAACTATAAATTCATGTGAGAACACCAACCTATTTTTTAGTAGCAAAATAATCCATAAAAAAATTCAATAACAATACATAAAAGTCTTATAAAAAACAAGCTTAACTCTTCTTCTTTCCAAAAATATACTATGTGTATATATGTTTTTATAAAGAAATTACTTAAAAATACGTTTGCCTTACACTACCAAAAAAAAAGTCAAAAAAACGAGTCAGAATTTTAGCACAAAATTCGGTTCCGTAAATCGCTATTTCCGCGTACCTAGTTGTTGCTGCTGAAAACTTTTTTGAGCAAGGTCTTTATATTTATCTTCTGTAAATTCAACAATAGAAGATTTGATGAAGCTGTATATATTCCGGTTATTCCCTGGAAATTAGCAGTTACCCAACTGTAAATTGTTCCAGTTGTAAAAGAAATCTTTACATGATCAAGTCCGGTAATACACTCAGAGGCTCGTGGGAGAGAAAGTATCAAAGGTAGAATGTAAAACTATATTTTAAACTCATTATTTCTGTCAAGTTTTTTTAAGCTATTAAGTTTATTAAGTTTATTAATATTAATTTCTTCAGATATAGACACCATCTATATAGAAATCAATAGTCTTAAAAAATAAGCTTTAATAATTATTAAAAAAACGTTAAAAACGAAAATAACGTTATTACGTGTTTTTATTTTTAACCTTATTATTAAAAAAGATATACCTTTACTATTTATAGCAAATTCTAAATTGTAATGAAGCACTTATATTTATATAATTTTGTATTTCACTTTTAAAGGTTGAATGGACAATGTTGACCAGAAATTTAAACGGAATGCTCCCAATTAGTAAAACCGAACCAGTTATATCTTTTTCTGCCAATAATTCAAAGCTCTGTGGACAATGCTACTCAATCTTATCAGAAGAAATGCCCACAACTGTTCTTCGTCAACTGCTGTAAAAAACTTGATTATTCTTTCCACAAGTCTAGGGAGCATTCAAGCTGAACAAGTTGCTTCAGGTATAATACAAAATAAATTGAGTGCAGACTGCACTTTAACAGGGACAACATTTTCTTTATCAACTGGGGGAAACCCGTTTGATGTAACTGTTGGATGTCCTTCTAACAAGGTAAATAGAAGATAAGTAAAACAAGTATCCTTACAAGTTATAAAGGAACTTCAAGTCGTATTAGAGTTTTCTAATAAAAAGACCAAACAATTAAATTCTACTCTTCGAAAAGGAATAGGGAGTAAGACTGTTGTAGAAACTAACATTTTTGGCAAGTTAAATGATCTTTCGGAATCCGTATCACATTTTTATCATGTAGAAAAGGTTATTTAAATATTTTAAATATATTCATATTTATATATTTATTTAACTTATTACTTTGAATACTAATCTTCATAGTGGTTGTAAAATATCAAAGACATTTGGTTGTAAAAAATTCCTAATTTTCATAACAGGCTAACACCAGGAAAGACATTTGGTTGTAAAAAAAGTTGCTTTAACTCTTCCATAAGCCATATAAATATATAAAATGCCATTAAAAAAAATATGTCCTAGCCAAACAAGTGTGTATTATTTATATAACTATTATTTTTTATGGCTAAACATGTTTATTCATTACAAAATGTACTTATACAATGTGTAACCATCCATATATATACAATATTATTTGTAAAATAGTGAAGCTAATTTAAAGTTGAATGATATTCGAATTAGATTTTGAATAATTTTTATAATTATTTTGTGTTTTTTATTAATCTTTAAGTTTTCTTAGTAATTTTTATATACAATATAATGACACTATATGAATGTGACAAAATAATGACACTTATCTATTTATACATCTTTTCAGATAGATTTCCTTGAAAATGAATTGGGAATTGTTGAAAAGGATCTTGTGTATGTTTAAGAGTCATCATCTTTCACAATGGATTTGATTAACCGTGGTTTAGACGTTCATTCTGCATTTGTACGAATTTCTATGGATAGTGAAGGATCCTTTTTGAAAATTATAATCAATGTTTTTGATGTAAATGAAAAAAAAAAGTCTTCTGTAATGTACATGAATAGTGGACTTTTTTCAATAAAATAATAATCTAAATAATAAATCTAAAAAATCTAACATGCAACAATATATAAATGTGATACATCCGAGGATTCTCTATCTAGAGAAGTGTCTAGATACTCTAATTCAGCATTTGGTACCACCTCCTGAATTACATTTTTTGATTGGAGTTGTATCTACTTTAGGATGTCTACTTATGGATATTTGGCCTGAATTTGATGACTGGCTGAAAACTAAAAGTGTTTATCAGAGAGAGTATCAAGGTAGAGGTTGGGACGGAAATAATTCTAACAAGATCCTGGATGAACTTGATAAAGTAGTAGCATCTCAGGTTCCTCAACTGAGACCTATAATTCAGTGTTTGAAAGACTTTAAAATAGAAAAAGATTCCTGTTTTGGTCAAATTCTTTTGACAGAGTATAAAATGGCATTTACTGTGTTTAAAAATTCTTTCCTTTCTACCCAAGAGCTTGCACAGGCTTTAGGGAAAAAATGTTTTTAAAGCGGGAAGTTTCACATCTTGCTGTGTCATGTTCAACCCTTTGTCGAACACCATAACTGTGGTCTAGCTAAGTTTGCTGAACAGTGTGGAGAGGCTATCCATTCTAAATTTAAACCTACCTGGAGTAGATATAAACGTGCAGAAGACCATGCTTAACATGGAGAACAGCTGTTATCCTCTGTAATAAATTTCAATGAAAGAAGACTTAAATTTATCTTTAACTTTGACATGTTGCTTTCTAAATTGCAGGAAATTGAATTAATGTATATTTGGATTGTGTAACAAATATAAATTAATATTGTAAATATTATTTTTTTTTGTTTTACTTTTTTAAATTGCTTAAAGTCTTTATTTGTAAACAGGCACCTAAAATGTTTAAATGGACTTGTGGCCCCATCAATTTAACCTTTTTGCTTTATTTGTGAGTCTTAGTTCTTTGTTTCGATTGTAAAACACTTGTGTCAATTTGTATAAGACAAATATCATAAATTAACAAATTTTTCTTTCAATGGTCGTCTAAAATACTTCAATGGGGGTAGGGCCCCTCAATTTTACTTTTTTGTGTCCTTTGTGATCCTTAGGACTTTGTTCCAACTTTTATAGTTTAAAAACTTTATATTTTATTTTTATAAGACACATATTCTCAATTAATTTATATATATTTTGTAATGGGCGTCTAAAGTGGTCAAATGGGTATCGGGCCCCTCAATTTACTTTTTTGCCCCATTTGTGACCCTTAGCACTTTTTTCGGATTTTAAAAACGCTAGATTCTATTTTTATAAAGCAAATACTCTTAAATAAGAAATGTTTCGTTCAAGTGACACAACATAAAACCTGGGGGTCTCTTTGGCCAACCGTGCTAGTTATATCATAGGTTTGTTTTCGAAATAGAAAAAGAATCTGTTATATAATGCTTATATTAGAAACATATCAACTAAATATGAACAGAAACCATTGTTACCATTGTTTTATGTTCTCAAACTTGTTCTTAAAAAAAAAAAATTATTTTATGGTTTAGTTTATTTCCAAAAAAAATTATTTTCAATTTTTTTTGAACTTTTTTTTTTTTTTTCATCTTTTCTGCTGAAAAAATAAAAACTATAAATAAAAAACTTTATTAACAGAACAACTTAAAATCCGGAGCATTACGCAATGTTTTTTGTAATTTCAGCACCAAACTTTAAATATTCACTAAGCTGTAACCGTATTCACCATCGTTTAAGAAGCTTTCTCAGTTCAATTTAAGTGATAAAAGCTACGTTTTCTATGGCTGCTAAACTAAACACTTTTATTTAGGTGGGACTTTAAAATCGTTAAATATTAACAATAGAGTAGTATTAAATTCCGTTTTGTTTTTTAATTTTTGCTTTTATGTTTTGTCCAATAAATATATAAAAAACAAATAATACTTCAACATAAATACAGATCGCTGGGGCAAGAAGTAGACACAATTTGTTTAACCACCAACCCCCGTAAAATTCATTTTGAATTGTTATAACGTTATGATGTAATTTTTTTCTCTGACTTTCAAACGGCAAAAACAAAAAGGCAAATAAATGAATAAAAGTATAACAAAGTTCCGAAGCAACTTATCAATTGAAAACTGGGATCAGGTTGTTAATTGCAAAGACACTAACATAGCTTACGATATTTTTAAACATACTTTTACAACTTTGTACGAAAAAGCGTTTCCCAAGCTAAGGCAATTAACAAAACTCAAAAACCTTAAAAGTCCTTGGATGACAAAAGGGCTTATTAAATCTTCAAAAAAAAAAAAAAAACTTTATGAAAAATTTTTGAAAAAAAAAGACTTTTAAAAACGAAAAAATATATAAACAATACAAAAATTTATTTGAAAAATTAAAAAAACTATTACTGCAATTTATTAGAAAATTATTGCGGTAACACTAAAAAAACATGGGGCGTAATAAAAGAGGTAACAGGAAAAAAAAAAGATGCTACCAAAGTGTTCCCGCAATACTTAAAAACAGATGAAAATGATACAGTAGCCAAAAAGGCAATACATATTGCAGAGAAATTTAATAACTATTTTATAAAAATTGGGGAAAAACTAGCTAATAAAATAACTTTTGGAAAAAAATGTTATAAGCTGTATCTAAAAAAAAAAGCCTCAGTCATGAACGAGCTTGAAATAACTCCGGATGAGCTTAAAAATGCATTTAATACCTTACAACAAAACAAAAGTCCAGGACTAGATGACATTAGCGTGAACGTTGTAAAAAATTTCTACGATATTATTGAATATCGTAGACATTTTTTACAACGTTCTGCATATCTGTAATCTGTCTTTAAAAAATGGGGTGTTTCCTGACCAGCTAAAGCTAGCCAAAGTTGTTTCTATATTTAAAAGCGGAGACGATTCGATTGCTTCTAACTACAGGCCTATTTCTATTTTGCCATGCATTTCAAAAATATTAGAACGCATAATGCACAATAGGCTAAACAATTATCTAGTAAACAACCACCTACTAAATAATAACCATTATGGCTTTCAAAAACACCATTTAACAGAACACGCTGTAGCCAAACTTGTTAATGAAATTTTAAATGGGTTTGACATCAATAAATACACTCTTGGGGTATTCCTCGATCTCTCAAAAGCGTTTGACACTGTTGACCACAAAATTCATCTTTATAAACTATATAATTATGGAATAAGAAATAACAATTTTAAATGGTTTTGTTATTACCTTAATAATCGGAAACAAGCTTTGTCATATAACAACACTGTAACACGACTTGAAGACATTACTTGTGGGGTTCCACAAGGATCAATTCTTGGTCCATTATTATTCCTCGTTTATATTAACGATATCTACTTATCTTCAAACATACTTAACTTTGTCCTTTTTGCCGATGATACGCAAGTGTTCTTTAGCCACACAAACATTAGCCTATTATTTAACACTGTTAATCAAGAACTTGAAAACCTGAACGAATGGTTTAAGGCTAACAAACTCTCCTTAAATGTCGAAAAAAGTAAATATTTTTTTTTTTACAAAATTATCAAAATCTGAAACCCCCCTTAAAACTACCTGATTTACTAATTGATAAAACTAAACTTAAACGAGAGTACTCAATCAAATTTTTAGGCGTAATTCTTAAAGAACATCTTAGCTGGAGTAATCATATTAAAGTAATAGAAAATAAGGTATCAAAAATTATTGGTATTATGTATAAAACAAAACATCTCCTAAACACAAATTGTTTAAAAAATATTTATTTTGCATTTATTCATAGCTACATCAGCTACTGCAACATTATCTGGGCAAGTACTTATCCTTCAAAGTTAAATATGATCTACAAAATACAAAAACGAGCAATTCGCTTGATATTAAATGCAAATAAATACGCTAGTGCCAAACCACTACTAAGAGAAATTGGAGTGCCTAATGTCTACGAAATAAATATTCTTAATATACTTATTTTCATGTTTAAGTTTAAAAATGGTATGCTACCAAGCATTTTCCAAACTTATTTTTTTTCTTTAAACCACAAATACGAAACTAAATACTCAACAAATAATTTTATTATACCAAAAACATTATCAAAACAAGCTGATTTTTCAATATCTTGCCGAGGGCCGCGGTTATGGAACTTGCTTTTAACAAGTAATATAAAAACTTTAAATTCAACTCAACATTTTAAACGTGCAACAAAACAACACTTATTTGGTTTTGACACAAAGCAATTACTATCGTATTATTAACAACTTTTGGTAATCTTAGTTATTTAATGTCTTATAAATTGACTCAACATCACAATTATATTGTATGGTACTTAGAACATGTATGATATTATTTTATTTTACAATAATAACGTAATTTGTAAATGCAATATTTATTATATCTTACGCAATTTGTAGATGGAATGTAATACAGATTTATTTGATTTGTATGTATATATGAACAGACATATATTTGTGTGTACGTGTGCGTATGTGTGTGTGCGTGCGTGTATAATAAAAATGAAAATTTGAATAAAATAGAGAATTAAAAAAAATAATAATAATGAGAAGAAATAATTAATATTTTTTCTTTTTCTGTAAATAATAATTTGATTTTTAAGTTCTTTTCTTCTTAAAATCAGTTCTTGCTTTAGTTTCTTTTTCTTTTTTCATTTTTATCGGCTGAATTTTTTAGTTATATTAACGGGGCTGGATGATAAGATCATGTTTTCTGCCAGCTCCGGTCGAAACTTTAATGTTATAATTTTTATTTAAAAACTTTGGCATATAAAATTCGCCGAATGGTCACACACGAGCAGTAAACGCCTGAGGGAAGAAATGAAGTACATTAGAATAAAGGAGAATTATTTATTAGACAAAGCATATTTTGACAGTTGTCAAGACAAAAATAAAGATTAATAGAGGAATATTTAAAAATAAATAAGACAGGCTATACAATTAAAACAGTACTCAACAATAATAACAATAAATAAAGTTAAAAAAAAATTAAAAATAAATAATAATAATAATTAAAAAAAATATATATATATATATATATATATATATATATATATATATATATTAAAAAAAAAAATAATAAAAAAATGTTTTATAAATACCTATATGAACTAAAATATACAAGAAATACATAACCAGTCAAAAATTTGTAAAACAAAAAACCATTCAACAAATTAAAAATATGCTAACAACAATGAAAGGACTAATAATGGAAAAAAAAAACATTAATGCTAATGTGTAAACATAATTAGTGTAGTGATTAAGTAATAAACATCTCCTCAGAGTCGCGTTTATTATTACTGGCGTTTCGAT